TAAGAAAGGGCCTTGCGCCTGCTTCACATGATCCAGCATAATTGAGCAGAGTGAGTGTGTGGTGGCACATGATCTAATGAAGGGTGCTGTGTGGAAATACACACTCAGATGCGTGAAGCATGGATCTGACAAAGTAAATTCAGGATAACCGAGGCCTTAATTTGCTCTTTCAGTGGACCCTGGAGGTTGCCTCAGCCCTTTGCTTGGATGCACTCCATGTAAAGGAACAAGCAGCAGGTTTGGCTTAAACCCACTTCCACCACAGACAAATAAATTGAAATGCAGAATACCAGAAACAATCCTGTTCAACAGACACTTTGGAGTGCGGAGATTTACCCCAGCTGAAGCATCCTGAGGAGCCATGTGTCTATTTGGGTTGGAAAGCGAGCTACATCAGAGCTGGGTGACACTCTGATACTAACTCAACATTCCTAATTACTCATTACTTTTAGTATTACCTAAAAAGCAAGTAAGTTGGAGAATGCAATGGAAAAAAAAAAAAGATTATAATCTCTCCTTTCTGAATTGACCTAGTCTACAAGCAAACAAATCCCAGTGCATGAGGATCCAGGTGGCCAAGCACAGTACAGATCAAGAGCCATGCAGAACTCCAGCTAACAACCTCCTCTGAACCTGCTCTATCATTAAAGGCCCCAGAGGGCAATCAGCTGCTGCCAGTGTCCCCAGGTGAGATCTTCCAAAAGGTAAGAACACCTGCACTGAAGTGCACTAAGCCAGTCAGCCCCAGAACATTCACAGAATAATATAGGTTGGCCAGGATCTCTGGAAGTCATCTAGTCCAATCCCTGCTTCATGCAGGTCCAACTGGACAAGGCCCTGAGCAGCCTGCTCTAGTGACATTTTGAGGATTACCAAGGATTGAGATGCTACCACCTCTGGGCAACTTGTTTCGAAGTTTGGCTGCCCTTATGGGGGGGGGGAATATCCTTATATCTACTCAATTTCCCATGTTGCAACTCTGTTCATTGCCTCTCATCCTATCACTGCGCCCCCTTGAGAAGAGTCTGCCTCTACCTTCTCTATACTCTCCCAGTAGCTGCTGTAGACAGCAGCAAGGCATTTCTCCTTAGCCTTCTCCTAAGGCTGAAAAAACCCAATTCTCTCTGCCTCTCCTATGCACACCACACATACTCTGTGCTACTCTGCCCAGAACCAGTTTTTGGCTACACCACCACCAAGGCTCAGAACAAGTACACACCACTGCTGATCTGGCTGCCAGTGCAAATATTTCTCCCCTTCAAACACACATTTCTCCTTTCTCTGCCCCCTCCCCACTCCCCCATCAACACCACCAAGGAAAAAGCATAAGCTTTGCTCAAGGAAGCCATAAACAACCAAGTAATCTGTTAAAATAGCTGATGTAATGTTAACAAGGAACTGGTTTTTGTTAAAAGCCAATTGTAGGACTGCATAAGCCCCTTGGCTTTGCCAATAACTAGCTGTGGAGCAAGTGGAGAGTGATCCTCACCAATAAATTGCTTCCCGAGCCTCTGGGCTCTCACAGCTCGAAGGGAAGTCCCCTGTACTCAGACTGCAGGAGTAAGAGGAGGCCCTAAATGCTGTAGAGCCAATTTAAATGCTGTAGAGCCAATTTAAATGCTGTAGAGCCAATTTAAATGCTGTAGAGCCAATTTACAGATTGCTAGATCCTGATACACTATTTCCTCATGTGCAACGGGGCCATATGCCAGGGCATCCATCTCATCCAACATGCTCTATACTAGATGTTTTTCACTCTGAAGAGTCCCATTCTCTACAGTATCACTGAGATCTTTGAAAGAAAATTATCTGCATAAACTACTCAATCCAGTTTAAACAAAATGCATCTTTGCTTTCTACCCAAAGGCCTATTTCTGTAAGCAGAGTTTAAAATCGCATCCTGTATCTGTTGACATCAGGTGGTGGGTTTTATTCTTCCTTACATCACCGGAATTAAAAAAGGTGTCAGCATATAGGTCTTACGGCCAAGTAACTAAGAGGGAGGTTTCTCTTTGAAAAAGGTGAGGGTCCTTACCTTGCTCCAAGCATACTACCAAAATCGCTGGCGAGGCAGGAGACCATACCTGCGATAATTCACTCCTCAGAAAACACTGCAAAAATACCAAGTGAGGTTTCTCTGATATCCCCTGGCCATCTGATGTTAACACAGAGCAAATACTTCTAAAGAAGTGAAGTCTGCTGAACAGTATGGTTAACAGCAAAAGTCTTTCAGGAAATATGCATGAACAAGAATATTAAAAGTGCATTTTTTATTTTTTTAATAAAAGAATCAAAGAAAGCCGTAGCACTTGTTTGGGGAAAAAAAAATCCCAGCCCCAACATGCAAAACATTCCAGTGTGAGAGCTGACAGTAAAACATTCGGCAATTGTAGATTTACAAGCTCATGAAGCAGACTTATGGTGAAATCTTAGGAAGTCATGAGAGGAGTCCCACTACCACGTGAGACTATCCAGAGACCCATCTCCAAGAGCTTCTCATTTCAGTTTTATAATCTGGGTGCCACTTGCTTTTATGCAAGGGTAGTTCAGGCTGTATAGCCACAGACTAAGTCTAATCAAGCGTTTCCACAGAAAGCTGTTGATGTGAAGAGTCACCAAGTCATTTTCAGCACAAGTCCATGGCTTTTATGCAAGCAGAATATTTCACCAATAAGAAATACTATTTTCAGGTTTACCTATTGCAAATACAAGCTGTAAAAATCAAGACGCAATTTATGATTCAAGTATTTAGACTCCCAAATGTTATAAGCTGTATTCCCTTCTCTCTGAAGAACCGAGCTAAGAGACAATGTTCTTACCTGCACGAAATTTGCTCTAGTTGTCCTGAACCACCTCCTACTTCCATACTGCTCCAGGAACACGAACAGAAGAAACTCACTATCATCAGAGCTGAAACTCACTATCATCAGAGCTGAAACTCACTATCATCAGAGCTGAAACTCACTATCATCAGAGCTGAAACTCACTATCCGCCTTTTGAAATGAGGGTGCTAGAAGAGCACAAGCATTCCACTTGGCTTCTGATCATCGCTCTTCTTCAAATACAAAGCATCGATATTATTGCATGCACTGAGAAACTGAGCAGTTGAATGTCAGCGTGGTTAGACTATGTGAATACCCTCTTAGTATTTCTACCAGTTGGTGAACATACTGCATCTATTACAGATATAACTTTACTGAGTGGCACACCAAAGCAGCCACACCAAAGGTCTGCATTCATAATTTCAAGCCTTCTAGATCTCTTGCACTTGATCTGTATGTAAGCAAAGAATGCATTTAGCAGGAAATGACACCACATTTTCATTCCTCACTGTTACATTCAATTTCCCTTTTTAAGGATAAAATTGCTAGCAAATTATTTCAAAGTATCTCTCTCCCTCCATGATTTTTGCATTATAGGTGCAAAATAATTTGTATCTTTAAACGCAAATAATTTCGTAGTTAATTCAAGTTCTCCTATGTCCAAACACACAGTTATAGTATCATTCTCCTTCTCCATACCATTATTAATAGAGATCTACCCACCCCCCCCAAATTAATATCAGAATGCCATTAAAAAGACCTGATCCCTTAGGTATGGTGTAAAGTCATTACTTTTCAGACCATTCTGTTAAGACAAAAGCTTAGGCAGAGCTCCTACAAAATACTGTTCCCCTCTACCTCCCAAGAGGAAAGATATAAACTGAGAAACAAAATCAGCAGAGTTATGTGGATCAGCTCGGAGCAACTTCCCCCCTCCCCCTTACTCCCTTCTGGACCAGGCATAGCGTAAGAGACCACTGGTTCTGCAAATTTGTCAGGGCTATGTTTGAAGTGTCTTTCAAATTGCCAGCACACTTCCCTTCCCCATCCCTCCCCTGGTGCAGTCCTTTTTACCCAGCACTGACTTTCTGTTAAAGTTTCCATTAAACGGTTTGGCTCCAGTACCCCCAAGTTCAGAGGAAGGATAATCCCCGATGACAGTCTGGAACTCCTACAGAAATAGATTATCTCTAGAAGACGATCAGCTGCACTGGCTACCATTACTTGTTGTCCACTTCCTCAAGGTACTTCCTCTTTCAACTACACCATTCTTCCACGGTAGGTAAATGTAGGTAAATACACCTTTAAGTTTGTCCTTTTCTGTAAGGACTCCAAAACGTCACAGAAAGCGCCGCGTTTGTCAGAGGTTCTAGTTTGTCACAAATCATTATGTGGCATCAGTTTCTCCAGTTCGAAGGCAAGACAGAATGATGTTTACATTCAAAGCATCATCTAGTTACAGTGGCAGCAAGGAGGACAAACTGTTTATTAGTACAGATGGATAAGCAGTAGCCCAACTGTTCTCCCTGTTTTTTGATAGCTTGTATTTTGAGGAAGACTTAAAAGAGCACAATTCAACCTGAGCTAACACCAAGCTTGCACAGGGGTGGAGGAAGAATTTGCTAGAGTACACTTAAACTCACAGTGTAAGACGGTGGTCTCTTTGGAAGAGAGAAACCTTTGCATTAAACCAAACTTCTCCCAAGATTTCAGGTATCTGAACCAGTAATAGAGTCCTTTAGAAAGAAATTCAGAAAGCTAAGTAATAACCAACTACGGAACAACCTTTTTTTGCTGATGGCAATAATGGCAACCAACTTTCCCCTGAAACCTCAACTGAAACACTATCAATAAGTAACTTGAAAGCAAGTCAGCTCCCATCCTCCTCCCATATCCTCTGTAATCTTTTACACAAGCTCAAACAGCTGTTCCTCAATGGCAACTTTCAGTGTAAAGATTTTCAAAGACCATGGAAGCAAACTAAGTAGTACAAGACCGGAGTGGGAATGGAAGACTCCCACTGACCAGCGTGAACAAACAGGTACCTCACCTGCACGCTTCTCATACAAGGAGACACTGTTAAGAGCACACAAACAAACAGACAGCGAACCTGGATTTGAGTACTGGGGTAATTTAAGGTTCATGCTAATTTGGCTAACTGACCTTGCCCGAGCCAGTTCATTTACAAACTGCACCCATGATTTTAGTAAATATTTACCTGTGTTGTATGCAAACATACTGAACCTGAAGAAACTTTACCACCATGATTTTCAAGTGCAAATATATATAGTCTCCCTTAATTCTACTCTTATTGTATTAAAAAAAAAAATCAAAACCAAACCCCCCACCACATTCAATTGCTCCCCCCAAACCCTAGCCTGCACAAATTCTCTAAAAATAGGTAAATATCAATCTGAAGGTTCACAAGAAATGAACAACTTAATTAAATGAAACATAGCTTAAAAACAAGCAACACAATCTATTCCTCCATTAAAGAGAACTAAAAGTCCCTGCATAGAGAAAGCAGTAAATAGATGTTAGAAGTACTATTAGTTAAGACATCAGACAAAAACAGATCAGATTCCTGACTTGCTATTTTTGTCTTCACATAACAACAACTCCATTTGGATGTTCGAAATTCAGCCTGCCTCAACATAAAATACTGCTTTCTACTTGCAATGCAGTATGAATAAAGGAAAGACTTTCAGTCTTAAAACATTTAAATTACTGATGTATACAGACTGTTGATTGCCATTGGTTTGTTCCAATGATCCACGATTGCTTCAAATTAAGCACAGCTGAAGACTGTTGCAGATGCATCCAAATGTAGGGTTGTTTCAATAACTTAATAGCACTTTGATATTTGCCTTGCTGAATTCTTCACTGCTGAAGGAGGATCAGAGTCTTCAGTTCACAGCAAAAAATAAAACAAGGCAGTTATGAAGATCATGTAACACAGAGCTCCGAAGCCCACAGCGGAGGTTTACTGCAATATGGTAGTCTGCTTCTGGTCTCTTGAGCACAAGCAGCTGCTGTAGCAGTTGCCCCCTCCTCTTCCGCATCTTCCTGTACCTCCCTGAAGTCTTCTGCTTCTTGGAATGGATTCTCCAAGAGTTTCAGGACATTTCTCACCTAGACAGAAAAACATAGCATGGTTATGAGAATTTAGGAAGTAAAGGCAAAATGATGTAGAGAAGAGCCTCACACCAAATAATGATTGTGTATATTGTATTTAATACACAAACTCCAGACAAGCAAAATATGAAATACATGAACAGTATGCACATCAAATAAGCTGAAAACTGTAAAATCGTAACTGGCTGAGTTTGTATCTGCATAGAACTCAAGCAACTTGAAAGCCAAGACTCAAATACAAGTTCTTGCATCATTTCTCAAAATAAATTAATTTTCCCATATTCTGCACATTAACAATCCACATGCTGAACTCCACAGGTGAAAGCCGTAACTTTTAAAGATAACACTTAGCACAGCAAGGAGCAGTATAAATTAATCCCCAACTGCCTCCCAAGGTAAAAGCAGGGGTAAGGATCTTGTCCTGGGATCAGCCTACAAAAGCTGGTGAAGTTCAGATTCAGATTTTCAATTCCTTTCTTTGTTCTGCAGTCATTAAAACCACAGCTCCCTCAAAAATAATACAGACCTTCTGAACAGTAAATTCCCAATCCCCTTACTGCCTGAGATGGCAGAATGAATCTCGCCTAGCATAATGTCAGTCATCAACAGCACCACTACACATCCACGCAAACCTAGAGAGATGTGAGGTAGTAATAGCATACCTCTGAGAAATCCCCATTTTCAGCTGCTTCTATGGCATTCTGGGCGATATAATTTCTCAAGATATATTTTGGATTGTTTGAATTCATGACCTTCACACGATCAGTATTCCAGGTATCAGCATCACTAATACTTTCTATTTCTTTTTGCAAACGGGCTCTGAAATTAAGCAAGTGAAAGCAACTGGTTTGGTTCAAGAATCACATGTAAAACTTGACCCGTTTCCTTGCCTTGAGATCCTTAGTTTGCAGTTCTTAATAAATATTACATCACCTATAATCCTCTCAGTTTGTAAAACCCAGCACAACAACAGGTTACAAAACACCACTTCATTTAAAAGCAGCATTACAGGTCATCAGCAGGTCCTGATGAGGCTTGAGAAGCGGTGCACCTTGCATATTCTCTGAAAAGTCAGATTCCGACACCGGTGCACGGTCTGTTCTGCATTGCTCTGCAAAAACCTTCACATTCAGAACTTGGCTTAAGTATTTCTATGCTTGTTTATTCGGTAAAGCTTTTGATGTTCTGATGAAAGTAAAGAGATACAATACAGCTGAGGCAGTTTGATCTACCCATTAGCAGGAATACTTGCTAAAACTCTCAGCCCCCTTGGAGAACAAGATCACAGGCAGTCAGGTGAGGAAAGGAGTCCTGTCCTAATCCATGCAGCAGGAACAACTAACGCTCTACTAAGGGGTTTTCTTTGTAGAAAATCTCCTGCTAGCATTGAGTTTTTAGGATTTTAAGTTATGCCTGTTAGAATACTCTGGACATTTCTTTTCTGGCCATGACTTCTTTTACAGCTACTCTTTGATTAGGAACACTTCTACTTGCTTTCTATATTAATACATAGATTTTTCTTTCAGAAAGAGAGATGTAAAAGGATAAAATGCTCAGAGATCAGTCAACTGTAGTTACTGAGCACTTTAATAGCTCACAACTAAAATTAGTCTCCGCTAGAATCAACATCAACATTCTTGAAGCACTTCTAATACTAGATTTGATGCGAGGTCATTTCTATACCCCCAACTCCTCCCCAAAATCTAGTAAACAAAATGCAGATGCCCTTGAACTTGCACAGCAACAGAGATACTGATCTTGGAGTAGTTAATATTCTGAATTGCATATCCCCCACATCCCTCCCAACCCCTATACTTTGAGACAGGGTGTCTTTTCGTGAGACAGGCACACTGTCCTCAAATAAAATGCAGCACAAATACACTGCTCTGAATACTGAGAAACCTTACCTGTATTTCTCCAGCCATTCTTTCCACTGTCTTTTATTTCTGCTGAGTAAATCAGCTGCTGTTAACTGCTGCAGTTTAGAGAATTGCTCGATGCGTTCCAATTCTTTATTTATATTAGCTTTTGTTCCAATTAATGCAAACAGCTGAGGATTAGACTGAGCCAACATTAGCATCATTGACAGTTGTCTGGGAACAAAGAGGAACAAACACATTAGATATTAAAGTTCAGCTGCCTGTCAAGAACCATCTTTTTGCAGCCATAAAGTAGATATGAAAACATTCACAATAACCTATGATTTCACTAGAGTACTTTATAATTAACAGAACATATTTATAATAAATTATGCTAATTTTACTGTTCCTTCCCCCTCTTCAGTGTGTTTAATTCACATTCCTGTGGTACATAAAGTGCAGACAGTAGATTTTCAGAATTACCAATTGGGTTTAGATGTACAGTTCTCATCAAAACACTCTTGGAACTTTGAAAGGAATTCGGAATAAGGAATTTGATCTTACTTAAGTATCCAGATAATACAGAATCCATAGGGGTTTTTTTTGTTGTTGTTTTTTTTAAATTTCTTTTTCTAACATTAATACTGTAACAGCATGCAGAATAAGGATCTAACACGTACTAATCTTACCTGTATTAAGAAAAACCCAAATCATATGGGGAAGATACCTCATTTAAGTCATACGAGACAACAGTATGTCTATTTTTTTTTTTTTAGCTAGCCAGTCTAAATCACAGAATGAGAACTGCTTTGTGGTAATAAATTCCTAACAGCATCCAGGCTATTTTGCTGCAAGTTTGACTAGAACTGTATCTTTTTTATATTTAACTGTGTTAGCTGATACTGTACAATAGCTTCACCTTATTTTCGATATCATGCTAGCTAATTTTTCTTTTTCCTGGATTAATAACTGCACTACAGCAAAAAGTAAAATAAAAAACCAAAGAGTGTAAGTTGCAGCATATCAAAATACACTATTTTTGTTTCCTTCTATGAATGCATTTATAAACAAAGGAGAAAAGAAACATTATTCCCTGGCCTCAAAACACACAAATCATTATATCAGATTATACTTTCCTACTTCTATTAAGCAGAGATAAGCTAGGTGCTTTGATTTTTGAGTTTATATAAAGTACTATCCAAATCTGATTTACACATCTGACATGCCCAGCTCTATGATATCCAAGTGGTGTGATAAACATCAGTTAAGTACTCACTTTAACACAGTACTATGCCCCTCCAAAGCTTTACATCCATATAATGATGATTTATAGCTTGTTTCCACATTCCTCTAAGACTGAATGTAATGTTTAAAAAAATTATTCTCTCAGCTGTCACTCGAGCCATCTTCATATTGCATGATATCTGTTTACAATTTCAAAGTAGCTAAAACCTGGAACTTAATTAAATAAGCAGTATCCACCACCTTAATTTAGATCCCTTTCATTTTAGCGTACCATCACTAAAACTTAAATAATCAGTAATATCTCCAAAACGATAAATGACTACAGGCAACCACCTTGGCATAACACCAAACATGTACGAACAAGTTTCACATCAGTCCATCTTCTCAACTCCCTGCTTTGCGCAAGTTAACTGTGATATCAACACGTAGAAAAAGCTGAAGAATTCTGTAGGTTTGTTACCTTCATGGAACACTTATTAAACTGGGGGGGCACGGGGACAACGACCCTACCCAAATATCCCCAGTTTAATTTCCCCCCCCCCATCTGGGAAGATGCTAGAAAAAAAATGACAAATTCATGGGTCATACTCATTCCCTGTTTTCCACTGCTCAAAAAAGTGAAAAACTGCTGCAATCACTTGTTACAAGCAGCAGTTGAACAAAACTTACTATTCTTCCATGCTCAGAGCAGCTGGGCTGCAGAACATAACCATCAAATGGGACATGGACAGCACTACACAGTTTTCAGAGCCTGAAGTGTGCATTTAGGTTATACTTAGCCCAGAACATGGTGATTATTTGCTGACAGTACATTGGCAGAACACAGTAAATCCATTCGTTCTATAAAATATTTCTGTATCACTTCACTATTTGCCACTCTCATTGCCTTAGTCAGCAGAGATTTTTTTATAGAGAGGGGGGGGGGGGGGGGGGGGGGGGAAGGACCAAACAAAAACTCAGACAACTTTACAGCCCAAGAGCCAACTGCTGCAAGTCACTGCTGAGCATTCACCAGTCACAAAATACACAAGAATCTGCACTGCTGTAGATCACGATGCGTCTACTTAACAATGAAACTTCCAAATTTAGTCAAATATTACACAGCATGCAGAGTTCATTATGGTTATGATGAAACTAAAAGCACAGGCCAAAAGCATTTAATAAGAGTATTACCTTGGATCCATCTGCGGTTTGAAAGCAACTTTCAGTTCTTCCACAGAAGCACACTGACTTGTAAGCTTTTCTAAGAAATCTTCCAATTTTGAAGGATCAGAGTCTATTGAGAATGAACTCAGCAAATAGAAAGTATTTGTGAAGTCTCCACCTGAAAAAGTGAATTCTGTGAGTAATGCAACTAATAAATCAGCAGGAAAACAAGTCCCATACCTCCTTCCTAACACCCCCCGTAGCAGTACAGGTCACCACCCTGAAGAGGCAAATAAACCGCTCCCTCAGTGACGGTGCAAATGTGAGACAGGGGAGCCCTGTATAAGGCAACAACTGCCCCACAGGTCACAAGAAGGTAATTATTATTCAGTCTTTCCTTCTCTCAGATGACAACATACTTGCGCAAGGCTGCTTTCGCGTAAGGTCAAGACAAAAACTACATTTTGGTTTGACTAAGATACTGATGGGCTATTGAAACCCTCTGCGTTCCTCACCAACCTGTGAGATGCATGGTTTCAAGGAGTTCAGACACCAGCTTACTATCTTCCTCTAATTCCAGCTGGATTAGGCCTAATTTCTTCCTCATCTTCTGTAAATAATGTTTCTCAAATTCTGCATCATATTCCTCTTCCAGGATGAGTTCACTTATTTCCAAGGGCAGCTCTGGAACCAGAGCTTCAGCAAGCTTCCCCAGGTTCCACTTGCAAATCTCTGGCTGTTTGTTGTAAGCATAGCGCCCTGTATTATCAGAACCATTGCAAATGTGCTCAGGGTCATATCTACAAATGAAGAAATAGTTAGCATTCTTCTAGTTATCTAGACACCAATACCGTGAGAAGTATTATTTTAGTCTCCTCTAGGGAACTAAAAAATTTGAAAGGGAACACTCCGTCTTGATTCTTTTCCCAAAGCCACCTCATCAGGTATCTTCCTGCCCTCTCAAACACTGAGAAACCCCACAGGCTGCAAGAACAGTCTAACAGTTAGAGATGTTGTGAATACAATTAAAAAGAAGTTGAAAGGAAGACTTACAGGACAACTAGAGCTAAGTCTACTTTGCCGTAACAAAGGTTCATAAATCTACTTTAGAGTTAAAAATATTAAAGCCAATCATGAACATCAGGGTTGTTCTACATAGCGAATACACATGCACATTTCAAATAATTATGCCACACTGACCTGTCCATAAATCCAAAAGGGCCGTAGTCAATGGTTAGTCCAACTATGCTCATATTATCCGTATTCAGCACACCGTGGCAAAACCCCACACATTGCCATTCAGCAACCAGTCTCGCTGTCCGTTTTGTTATCTAAAAGAGAATTTTTTTTTTTTTCATTTTTCAACACAGTGTATTTCCAATACATTCATGTATTTCCAAGCATTTCCTAGTCTGAACTGATGTTTCTACAGCTCTGATGGAAGCAGATTCTGGCAGTATGCCATATACACAAATACCTTAAGGACAGCTTGCCTCTCCTCCTGTTAGTAACTGCCCTGTTTCTCAGTCTCCCATTTCTGTTTGCCTCCTCTTCTTTCCTTCCATGCTTGACTTGCAAGTCAACTGGACAGCTTTAAAACGTACTGGAGACAGAACGCTGCAATAAGGTAAGCTGTTTGACACCAGACTTGCATACTCTTCTAGTCATTATACATTCTTTTGCTTACTACTAATTTTAAAGACCCTTTAACTACAGGCAGGAGAAAACATAAGCAAAGTCTAAGAAATAAAATTAACTATATGAAACAAAGCCCAATGTAGTTAGTCTTTTGGTTTACCTGGTACGTAGGAGTGATTTACAGGAAGGTAAGTGGTTTACACAAAAAATTATTCCCTGCTAACAAGTTTTAGCACCGATAAACACTTCCCTCAATTTGCTGAGAGTGGAAAAAAGCTATAAGGTTAAGTAAAAATATTCCAAGAATGACAAGTTTATTTAAATGCAATTCTTCATTGAATGCATGCTTCACCAGAGTTTTCCGTTGCTTAACTGAGAGTTAACTGTCATGGAATCCTTGACTGCAATCACTGCATGTGCCCCATTCTTCAAATAATCAGTGCAGTATTTTAAAATAGGTCTAGTTATTTAATTAAATTAGCCCACCTATCAACTGCAACTAGGTATGCCCTATGAAATCTAAAATTCAGGAAGCTAACCTGACTTTTAAATAAACCTAGGTATTTCTAAATACTTTACTGAATTGCTGTAAATAAAAATTTTATGTAGCCATTAGCTAAATCTTTTAAATTAAACTATTTTCATAGCTAAAATCACTCAACTTCCCAAATAACTATCAATGTACAGAAATTTAAAGCAACTATTCTCTCCAGGCTGCAGTGTAAGTGTATTTTATTAAGGTCTAAAAAACGATCTAGTTAACAGAGGAAATGTTAGTTTTATGCCTCTGTCTCCAAACCCAGAATTTTTCCATTTTCCTTTTTTTACCCAGGTGCAGTCAGGTAAGGAAGAAAAATTAGAAAAATCTTGCCCTGGGATAATCCGACAGGTAGTAAAAAACACAAATGATGCTTGGAACAACACCTTTCGGTTCACCTTGAGATCCCATGCTTCTGCTTTTTACAACATTTTCGTGTTAGGTACTTTACCCGTTTTTTCCTGAACGCTGCTTCACGGGGCAGTCGGCAGCCAGCTACACGCGTCCAAAACCGATTGCTGGCATGCTACAAACCGGTAAGGGAGTCACACCCTGTACGATGGCTCTGTGCCAGGGAGAGGGCAAAACTCAAAACAGTCCTGGCCACCAGGGCTGGGATGAAAGCACGCCAGCAGTAAGGCAATTCGTGACTGCTGGATGTCTTTGTATGGATGCATCACACCCTGCCAGCGCTCCCGTAAAAAAGAAATCCCGCTAATGAGAACACCTGAAAGCAATTAAAGCTTGGGCACCACCCAAAGATGGGTACATGGATTAGAAAGAGACGGCTTTGCACTCACTTTGACCTTTATTCTTTTTGATCCCATTTTTCTACTGCTAGCCATAGGAGAAAACAAGTATGGTGTATATATAAATAAGAGCACTATCTCGAGGACACGCTCATTTAAACAACACCTACAAATTATTTGAGCAGTACAGATACTGGTGTTTGCCTTCTAGACAGTGCTGTCAAATGCAATCACTTGTACTTTTTTCCTCTATTTCTAGGTGCAAAAAGAAAGATAAAACACGTTAGAGTTGAGCTGACAGCACTTCCCCACTATTAAAGAAGATAGACGTGTTTGTCAAATTAGGTAAGGGACTGGGGTGCTTTTCAGGTGGAGAAAGGTACAGAAAGTCTCCACTAAGGAGGAGAGAAAACATGAAGAGGCAATGCCAGCACAGGCATGGAGCACGGACAGGCACAGGCAGGAGGAACACAACAAACAAACAAAAAATGGAGATGGGGGCAATAAGGAAAAGATGCCAGGATGGGGGGAGGAAGCCAGCTGTAACTGGGCCAGGAAAAACAGCCAAAAGCAGAAAGAGGCAGGACTGGGCGCACACACATCCGCAAAGATCCCCAAGTCCCATGACTTTTCTGCCATCAGAAAGTAAACATGCCATCAACTACAGAGCTGGACATGCACATAGCAGGTGACAAGCCACAGTTCTCCTCATCAATTCAAATCATTCAAACGCAAAAGGCTTGTCCACTGAAGTTAAACTCTTCGGCACCCAGTGGTGGACCAAGCCACAGCTTGCTTTTGAAGAACTAATGCAAGTATGCACAGGTTGTGTTAAAGCAAAAAAAAAAAAAAAAAAAAAAAAGGCAAAAAGAAGAATCCCCAAACAAAAAACCCCCACAAAATTTAGAGAATGTCAGATTTTAAGCCTGCCTTTTGACCTCTTATTGGTCTGTTAGCAACATGCATCATGTTGCAGCCACTCCCTCAGTCCCTACCAGATAATTTCAGATTTCAAAGCACCACAACTGCTTTTACATAGACCAGTCAAGTGTATTAGACGGTGGTATTTTTTAATTATTCTGTTTACTGGCTAGTTATAACATTCTTATTTGGGTTGTAACATTATTTGAACTTCAGGTGATCCAAATCGCAGCCTTTATTATAGTTCTCCAGTAATTTCAAACTGGATCCCTTCTGCAAGGGTAGCATTACTATATACTAATCACTAAAACACGAGGAGAAGCACGTTATTCCCTTACCCCAAATTCTTTCTTTGCTCACTGAGACAAAGGAATATAGGAATAGAAATTCAATGTCAAAAATAGCAATACAATATCAACAGTGAGGCAAAAGGTATATTCAGGAGATAAAGTATAGATACCAATTAATTTAGCTACGTTTTACTTCAAAGAGAAATACAGCAATTCTACATTTACTAATGTTATTGTTCTGATTTTTATTATGGATCTCTAGTAATTGTTAAGGTCTAAATTTATACAGTAATTGAAAATGGGTTCAAAATGGCATTCTCAGAAATCACCCAGCCTCTCCTCTGGGCCACTGCAGAATGACCTGATACTACACCACATCTAAGACATATTTATCTCACCTGATCTTACCATTCCCAACTTCTTTTGGGAGGTTTTGCAACTTCCTCAGGCAAGCCCTCGCAGTGCTTGACTGCCTTCAAACATTTCAATTCTAAAGCCTGAAGTTAAAGTGATTTGCAGTCAACATTCCTGTTTATAATTTGGAAAATGAGAGACAGGAAGTGACTCCACGTTCTCAGTATTTTACAAGACGATGCCTTGCAAGTGATGTCTCGGTACCATCGACTCATCATCTGACAGTCAGGGCCACGATTCCCCCTCGCAGTCTAAGACACTCTCAGCAAATGGAGACAAGTCTTGGGAGGCTCCACCAGAGCAGAGAAATCACGATTTACTATTAAAAAGGTTAAACTGCTTTCATTGGTTTGATCAGTATCGGCATTGCTTTCATTGATAAGCAGTTCTATTAAGAGTGTTTTCTTCAAAGAAAAGAATAGTTTAGGCAATCAGATGATATAAGGTATTAACCGACTCCAGTCATCTGTGCTTGCAGATGAAGTTCCTAAAGATGACTGCTATGGATTTGTGAAGAGAATCTCATCTTTCTTACCTCTTTGAAGAAAGCAGCATTCCTCTGAATACTGTTGTCTGAATAAGCCTCCTGGATTTCTGGATAGAAAGTGCTGATCACATAATCAAGCATCTGTATTCGAATATCATTTCGGTTAACACTGGGACCCTTGCGTCCTGTGTATTCATCAGTAGGTTTAAAAATTTCAAAAGAACCAAATCTGTTTTAAAATAATAAAAACATGTTTTAGCACTGATACTATTAACTTGATATTACATGTAGTAAAAACATTTACTGTTGTTGCAATAACACATCATCTCTTAACACCAATCCTTCAACTGACTGAGAGAAAAGACCCGCAAGATTCCTACGCTGAACCCAGCGAGGCTCAGTGACTCAGCGCAAGGAAGCGCGTACATCCACGTGTAACTAAACTGACAGAACAAGACCCTAGCCAGTACTGAAGACCAGCTCGTTAAAGTTTCTTACAACCACTTCTACAGAAAAATTCTTATCCTGAGTAAATATTCAGGAATAGGACTTATTGAAAATACTAGACTGTACATCAAGCATGTAAGATAGATTTTTCCACATATATATATATACACACACGCATACAGGCACGCACACATATATATGCACATGCATATACATGCACATATTCCTTATGCCTCACCTTCCTCTAATATTCTGTTACCTTGCAAGAAGCAATACAACTTCCTGAAACTACTAATGTTTTGTGTGGGAGCAGGAACCTCGTACACTTCTCAGGCAGGGAAAGTGCACCCAAACTTTGACAGTACTACATTAGATAGCTTTGGAATGAAGGGCAGAGCTATAATCCACCACTACTACCAACACCAAAAAAATCATGTATTCTGTGCAGGCATAAACATGAAAAATCTCTTCTGAGGTCTGCAGAACTTAGTTCTTCTTTCTACCAGGCTAGCATCCTTAGTGTCTATCTGTTTGTGTGCAAAGACACCAGCTCATCCCATCCGCTGGACAAGAGCGGTGGCTTCCTACAGCCCGGCAAAAGCGTTCCAAGCCTCCAGAACGAGAAATGTGCAAATGGTGCTGTTATGGAAATACACTTACAATGGTATTTTAAAAGACTGTTGTGCTTGGTTTTAAAAGAATAAAAAAACCCCAACAAAACAGGCTTCTACCTTATAAACGTAGAAGCTATTCTCAGAACAACTGTACACCTTTCACTTTTTGGATTCCCATCATAAAATATGTCACGGACGACTTTTGAGTCAGATGTCACACACGTTCCAGCCCTCGTTGTTGGTATTCCTAGGTGAAACATAGCCTCGCTGCACAGGAACTCCCGTATGCTTGACCGCAGGACTTTCCGACCATCAGCTTGCCTGCAACAAGAAGACATGGACAGTTTTCAGGCTATAAAGGCAGAACTCCTGTCTCCCCCTTAGCAGTGGAGAAACAAAAGCCTGGAAGTGACGTGCTCTGTCCACAGCCACACAACAAAGCGGTGGCAGATCCGAGAAGAAAAGCTGGACCTTCAAACTTCTGTTAATGCTCAATTAGACAGACACAACACACTTGCAAGGAAGATCACACACAACAGAAGAAAACAAACCTTCCAGTTACACATACCCCTTCTAATCATTAACTCCGTGTTGTTTTTATTGATGCAATAGAGTCTTTCAAAAAATTAAAAAATTTTGGACAAGTATAGCTATTTTATTATATGTCATGACTGGTTTCCTCTTAATAAAATAGCTACTGTTATGCATCTTGAAAAATAATATTATTTTGGATCTTTCTGGGCAAGTAATCTAGAAATGGGGTGTTAAATACAGGCAGGCATGGCAGCTGCATTAAAAAAAAAACCTGAACAGACAGCAAATAGCAAACTAGCTTATTTAATAGATACCAAGTAAACGGAACAGGCGCGGGTGGTTCTCAGCCCACACTCCCAGCACTTCAGAAGCCACAGGCAAGCAGGAGAGCTGCCCAGGGCAGGCCTACAATGCTACCACCGTATCTGGGATTTTCACCGTGATTCCCTTAACCTTCGCAGACCTGAAGAAGGCCTTCAGAGCACCACGTGTGAAACTAAGGTGCTACCGAGCCTGTGCACAGCTGGAACAGAAAATATAGGAAACACAAGTGGGAAAAGTGACCTGAAAGATTTAAAGCAGTGCAGGCTAAACTGACTAATGAAGATATCCATCCCTTGCAGGGATTTGGTCTATATGCCATTTTTGGGGCTTTTCCACCATTCCCTCCCACAGCCAGGAAGGATGGAGGAAAGGCACTGCTGGCAGCAGGCAGAAGGACCAGCAGCACAAACAAACCAAACGCCCGCATTTTAAATACCATTTGCGTGGGCCATAGGACAACTTGGCAGCAAGTGGCCAGGTGGCTATTACACACTGCTGTCCCCACCTTCACCACGGTCTGCATCCTCCTGAAGGGGGAAAAACCTCAGAGGAGGATAACCAGGGACAGAAGTAACGCACCACCTGAAGGAGATGCAATTAGAGTCCTATTTTCCATAGGAAAATTTTGCCACCTTCTGGTTTGGCATTTAAGCATTACACCTGCTGCAGCGAAGAGTAAAAGAAAAAAACCAAACCACGAGGGCTTAAGAGATGACCTCTGCCTCGGGGAACGATCCTCAGCACAGAACCAGCTGGAAAAGCACCTCGCTAAGGCAGTTAGCGGGCAGGGAAGCCTCTCCCCGTACCCGCTCTCCCCCGCCCAGCGATCTCGCCAGGCAGGGGGGCTTCGCGCGGGGGCACCGGGCTGCTGCTCCTCCGCCATCGAGCTTCACCGGGCTATTCCGCCACCGTCCCTCCCCGCCGCCCCGGGCCGGGCTCGGCCGGGCCGCCCCGCGGGGCCTTACCGGGAGAAGGGGGTGAGGCCGGCGCCCTTCAGCTGGATCTCCCAGCGCTCGCCCCGCGGGCCCAGCACCTCGCCCAGGTACATGGCGGCGCCGTCGCCCAGCTGCCCCGCGAAGCTGCCGAACTGGTGGCCGCAGTAGCAGTGCGCCGCCGGCTCCGAGCCCGCCAGCA